TGATATCCCCTTAGGTTCGGACGAGGGGGGCAGGGCATTGCTAGACCTCATCCCCCCCGTCCGATGGGGCCTCGATCTCCATGGCCTCAGGAATCGAGGCCCCCTCCTCTCGCGCTCTCGTGCGAGGCTGGCGCTGCGATTGCGGCTCCTCTCGCCGCTCGCCGCCCCCGTCACCATCCCCTCCCCCGTCAGCCGAACTTCGGCCGGGGGGGGTCACCGGATGCTGGCGCTTGCTCCAGGATGCGCCGCTCCGGTGGCCTCCCGCGCACGTTTTTCTGGGCGCAAGTCTTTGCGCCCAGAACGTGCGTCTGCCCTTGTCCGCGCACAGCGGGCACTTGGGGGCAGACCGGCAATCGCGGGAGGTGTGACCGGTCTCACCGCACCGGTAGCACCTCCCAGCGCCCACTTCGTCGGAGGCTGCAACTCGTGCTTGAGCAGAACCAAGTCACCTACGGCTATATTGGGCGCCTGTCTCCTCCAACGTTTCAGCTGCTGCAGATGATGGAGGTACTCATTTGACCATCTGCGCCAGAACTGGTCCCGCATGGCAGACGTCAGCGCCCAGCGCGTCGCTAGTCCGCCATGATTGTGTTCGGCGTGCGGAGACTCCGGTATAGCCGCCAACGGTTCCCCGACCAGAAGGTGCCCCGGTGTAAGCGCTACAAGGTCCGAAGGGTCGTTGCTGAGCGCATACAGCGGCCGGGAGTTGAGGCAGGCCTCAATCTGGGCCAACAAGGTGGCCATCTCCTCGAAGGTGAGGCAGGTATCCCCGACGATGCGTCGCAGATGGTATTTCACGGCCTTGACGCCGGCCTCCCAAAGGCCTCCGAAGTGAGGAGCGCCAGGCGGTATGAAGGCCCAGTCCGTACCGTCGATGGCGAGGCTCGATGCACACTCCTTGTAGAACTCGGACGCTGCGCGGAACATGCCTCTGAGTTCCCTGTCGGCGCCTCGGAAATTCGTCCCGTTGTCGCTCAGGAGGCGCCGGCAGTGACCTCGTCGGGAGATGAACCTTCTGAAGGCGGCTAAAAATGAGGCGGAGGAGAGATCAGAGACCGCTTCCAAGTGAAGCGCCTTGGACGACAGACACACAAATAGACATATTTGACATATATATCCTTTAATGGCCTTGTGGCCGCGTCCTTTAGAGGTTCGGAGGGGCACAGGGCCGGCGTAATCCACTCCAGCAGTGGAGAAGGGGCGGCCGGGTCGCGCGCGCTCCGCCGGCAATTGGCCCATCTGCTGCTCTGCGGTGGCACCTCGGAATCGAGTACAGCGCAGGCAGCCGTGAATGACCGACCGGACCAGCGAATTCGCTCGCAGGATCCAATAACGCCTCAGGAGCAGACTACGGGTCAGCTGCGGTCCTCCGTGCAGCGAATTGGCGTGAGCCTCTCGCACCAGGAGGAGCGAGAGATAGTTCTCCTTCACGAGGATGAGCAGGTGCTTCTCGGCGAACGGAAGAAGCGCCTCCTGCAGGCATCCCCCCACTCGCAGCAGGCCGTCCCGGTCCAGGATAGGGCGGAGAGGTAGCAGGGGTGACCGCACCGGACATCGCTGCTCGCTTCGGAGGCGGGCCAGCTCCTCGGAGAAGTCCTCGGCCTGAGCGATCCGCACCCACCGGTTGCGAGCCGAGGTCAGCTCGGCTGCCGTCAGGAAGCCCGTCCGCCTTCCTTGAGGGTGTTGTGCGTTGTAGAGGAACCTGAAGCAGATTGCTGATACTCGCAGCAGTCGGTCAAGACTGGAGTAACGGCGTAGTACGTCGTTCGGCTCCTCCGGCCTCGCAATGAGGGTCGCCCTTGGCCGGAGTTCCTCCTCCACGACACCATGATCGGGCTGGCTCGGCTCGGGGACCGCGTAGTCCGGCTCGGAGAGCCAAGGTGGTCCAGACCACCAGTTGTGGAGGTCCGCCAGGGTCGCAGGAGATATGCCTCGTGTGGCCGCGTCGGCCGGGTTGTCCCCGGTCGGCACGTACCTCCATCGCTCAGGAGGCACAAGATCCTGCACCTCCGCCACTCGATGCGCGACAAAGGGCTTCCAGCGCGCCGGATGGGACCGGATCCACGCCAGCGCAACGGTGGCATCCGTCCACGCAAAGGCTGGGACATGTTCAAGACCCAGTGCCCGGGCGGTGCTGCGCATGAGTCGAGCGAGGAGGACCGCGCCGCAGAGCTCCAGACGAGGTATCGAAGGCCGCTTGACCGGTACCACTCTGGTCTTGGCAATCAGGAGCCTGACCGTCATGCCACCGGGGCCAGTCGCACACCGCAGGTAAACCGCGGCGGCATAGGCACGGCTGGAAGCGTCGGCAAAGCCGTGAAGCTCGACCTCGCCCCCTGGCCCAGGAAAGTCCACGTAGCGTGGTATGCGCAGCAGGTTCAGCTGGGGCAAGGTGTCAAGCGAACGTTGTCCAAGTCGTCCTCAGGTTTTCCGGCAAAGGCTCGTCCCAAGGCAGCCCGGCCATCCACAAGTCCTGCATAAGGATCTTCCCGTACACCAGGACTGGAGCGGCCCAACCGAGGAGGTCGAAGAAGCGGGCCACCTCCGAGGGCACTGTTCTCTTGGTGCAGGTTCGCGCTGTCGAGACGGGAGCCAAGCGTAGAGCGAAGCTGTCCTCCCGAGGGCTCCACAGGACCCCCAGCGTGCAAACCCCCTCGCGGTCGCAAAACAACTTATCGTTGTCCGCTACAGGGCCCAGCTCCGGCGCGTTGGACGCCCATTTGCTGAGCTCGAATCCACCGGCGGCGAGGATCGCCTCGGTCTGCCGCTTGGATTCCACGGCTTCCGCGAGTGTGTGACCGCCTGCGAGGATATCATCCACGTACGAGTGGGACCTAATGGCGTCCGCCCCGCGGGGGTAATAGGGCCCTTCGTCCTCGGCCAACTGCAGGAGAGTCCGTAGCGCCAAGTAAGGCGCCGCCGCGGTGCCATAGACGACCGTCAGCAGGCGGAAATCCTACACCTCCTGGGCGGGGTCCGGTCGCCACAGGATTCGCTGCAGGTCGGTGTCCTCTGGGTGCACTAAAATTTGACGGAACATCTTTACGATGTCCGCCGTGAAAACGTGCCTAAAGAGGCGCCACCGCGACAAGATCGCCCAGAGCTCGGACTGCAGTTTCGGACCTGGAAGGAGCAGATCGTTAAGCGCGTAACCGGAAGAGGTGCGGTGGGACGCGTTGAAGACAACGCGAATTTTGCTGTTCGCGTCCGATTTTTTGAAAACCACGTGATGCGGCAGGTAATGGGTCCCGGGTTGGTGGACCTCCGTCGCCGGAACAACGACCATGTGACCGAGCTTTTGATACTCGTCCATGAAGGTCGCGTACTGCTCCCGTAAGGTGGGGTTGCGTGACAGCCGCCGCTCCAGGCTGGTGAGAAGACTCAGCGCATCCCGGCGGTTGTCGTTCAGACGAACGTCGGAGCCGTCACGCCTGGGCAGCCGCACGGTGTACCGGCCCCGCGAGTCGCGACTATGAGTGGCCGCGAACTGAGACTCGCAGCAGAGGTCTTCAGGAGACGCAGCGGGTTCCGTTGGCAGTTCCTCAAGCTGCCAGAAGCGCTGGAGGGCGTGGTCCACCTCAGTCCCAGAGGCGGATAGGTGGAGGACGGAAACGCCTGAGCGATCCTGTGTCGCTGCTGGAGCGGATACTCGTCCCATAAGTACCCAGCCCAGGGCGGTAGCCTGAGCCGAAGGGGATCCCTCGGGCCCCCGTTTGAGTCCCTCTCGAAGAAGAGCGCTGAAGATGTCCGCCCCCAGGATGGCGTCCACCGGGGCGGGCTGGTCGTACTCTGGGTCGGCGAGCGTCAGGCCCACAAGGTGGGGCCACGCGTGCGGTTGCACTTTACGTGCTGGAAGGAGAGAGGTGAGCCGAGGCAGAACCAACGCGAAGGGCAGATGCAGGCGCACGCCGCGGTCCCGCGATGACCCGATTGTCAAGGCAACCGCGTGAGTGGCAACGCCCGAGGTAGTTCCTTGTATGCCGGACACAGGAACATGCACGCGCCTCCGGTTCAGGCCGAGACGCTGTGCGACCCGCTCTGTCACAAAAGAGGCCTCCAACCAATCGGGCTGTCGACAGCAGGATCCGGGTCCCCGAAGAGCTCGTGAGCGCCGCCACGTTGGTGGTCACCGCGGGCTCGGTGGTCGCGCTCAAAGTCGGGCCGGGGTCCTTCCCCTTTGCCGCAGAATCTTGTCCCGAGGCGGAGTCAGCCTCAGGGGGATGGAGCAGTGCGTGGTGCTTCTCGCCACAGCGCGAGCACCGAAAGCTAGACGGGCAATCGGTCACCGCGTGCTTTAGCCGGAGGCAGTTGAAGCACGCACCCTGCTTTTTGACGTGGTCCCGTCGCTGGGACACTGAGAGCGCTTTGAAACGCGAGCAATAATTAAAAAGGTGGTTACCCTGGCAAAGACCGCAGCGGCTAGCTGACTTGCCCGTGGTAGACGCCGTGAGCGCGTTCACCTTCTTCTTCTCGATCCGGCCCGGAGCGACGGCTGGCGAGACGGTTTTGACGCTGGCTGCCTCCAGCGCCCGAATGCGAGTTTGCAGAAAGTCCTGGAGTTGGGCCAGTGTCGGGAAGTCCGTGGTGGTCTGTAACGAGGCCTCCCAGAAGAGGCGCGACGACGGGTCCATCTTCTCGACCACCACGTGGACGAACCAATCGTCCCAATGAGCGATCGGACGTTCAAGCGACTCGAACGACCTTCTGGCCTGCAACACGAAACTGCTCAGCCGTTTAAGGTCAGCGGAGGAAGGCTTCGCGCTCGATGGCTCATTCAGGAAGTTGCGCATGTGAGTGGCCAGCAAGACTCGTCGGTTGTCATAGCGCTCCTTTAATTCAGTCCACGCCAAGTCGAAACCACGGTCGGTCATCTCCACGTTGAGGACAGCCGCAGCAGCCTCGCCCGATAGGCTGGACTTGAGGTACTGCAGCTTTTGCACAGGGGCTAGGTCGGGAACACCGCCGACTAGCGATTGGAAGAGGTCTCGGAAGCTTTCCCATGCCAGCAGGTCCCCGGAGAAGGTCGGCAGGCTGATCTTCGGCAGATGGATCTGCTTAGCGAAGGAGACCGCGGGAGCCGAAATCTCCTGCTTCGGCCGCGGCGATTCCTCCTTCATCGCGGAGAATATCCGTGCCTTAAAGAGCACATAACTGTCCTCCGTGGTGGTATAGTCGTCGCTATCCTTATAGGCCTCCACCTCAGCGCCCTCAGAGCCAATTATGTCGTAGTGAATCTCCTGGTAGCGTTGCCAGTAACTCTCCAACAGAGCCAACCTGGTCTTAAGGTACGCCTGGGTGATTTTGTCCTTGCCTACCTTGACAAGGTTGTCCCAGAACCTGTCTATGTAGCCCTTTGTGGCGGAGTGCCTCGTGAGGGTGGCCTCCATCGTAACGCGTCGACGTCACCCGCGCACCGTTTCCTACCGCGTAAGATTGGCGAGGTACGGAGCAAGAGCTCGTAGGCGCGGGCCGCGCGAGGCGCGGAGCAAGAGCTCGTAGGCGCGGGCCGCGCGGGCGCGGAGCGAGAGCACGTGGACGCGGGCCGCGCGAGGCGCGGAGCGAGAGCACGTAGGCGCGCGCCGCGCGAGGCGCGGAGCAAGAGCTCGTC